CATTCCTTAGTTATTTACCCTAACCACAGTGGATATTCTCACCTTCTCACCCTCTTGGGTGGGTAGCTGATTTATTGTGCTAAAATAAACTAGCAACTGGTAATAAGTGGCTCTATCCAGGGTTAGGTCACTAGATGGTCTGTTTCTAACAGCCTTTGATCCCCAGTCCATCAGTGTTAGTGTGAGTTCCCTGGAGGAAGTAAACCGCCTCAGAAAAACCTATAGACGTGACCTTCCTCTCTACGATATACCACATGTCTCTAGAAGAAAGAGGAAGCTCACTGGTGTAGACAAAACTGTGTCCCCAAGTGCAAAAAAGGTCAAGGTCAATCCCACATCTGCAAGGGAAAATGAGGACTGTGTTATTACAGGTACAGAAACACCTGCTGCTACCCCTTTCAATTTCCACTCTGTAGATGTACAGTGGCAGGGAAGTGCATGCCAAGAGCTGGGCCTCCAATATTGTACACAAACACCAGTAAGACCAGGAGGATCCACTGTCCCCCTCACACGTCCAGACATGCGTAGTGTGAGACGCGTACAAAGGAGATGGTAACTGCCTCTTTAGGGCATTATCTTACATTCTGACAGGGTCTGAGGATCAGCATATGGGTGTACGACGTGCTATCCTTGACCACATGACAAATAATGCCCAATATATCCTAGGCCACCATCTCATAGGCTATGGAAGTATTCAAAGTTATATAGCTTCCACAGGTATGGACCAAGATGGGGCCTGGGGAACTGACATTGAGATGCTGTCTTTGGCACACCTGCTCCAGACCCCTGTCTTCTCATACAGCCAGCAGCATGGGCAGTGGCAGCGGTACTCTCCTCATGATGTCGACAGACAACTGATGGATGACATTTACCAGAGGTCTATGTATCTATTGCACACAGGAAACTACTTCAATGTTGTTGGTTGCATAAGGAAGAATTAGTGTAACCACATGTGCCTATACATACCTCTCAGAGCATATTGGGAAGCTCTCTGCCTCTGCAGGTCTCTGAAGGCTGTCATTTTCTGTCTAAGGGGCCTGGTGTCTCCAACCGTACAGGGGAGGGTGACTGTCAGGGGAGCGGACATCACTGTAATCAGATTATCTGGCGCCTTGGCAGGTGGGGCTCTGAAGTGTTTTCCCTAGCCCTTATCACTGACTTTTACACATCCTGTGCCCCTATCACCACTGCTGACATAGCTCTTGTAAAGCATACTCCTAGCCAATTTGGGTTGCATTCCTCACTCATTTACCATCTTTATCTTCTAAGGTGCTGTCCACTTGTCAGACCTGGACCCTATGTACAAGCTTCTACTACACACCCACTACCCTCTTTGGCCTCCACCTTTTACTTCAGCTGGGTAGATGGACCTCTTCAGAAGAGTGAACTCTCCTGCACAACAAATCACATGCATTGTTGAATAATATTTTGTCTCGCATGCGCCTATATACGAGAGGCGCGCGCAAGTGCGCGGAAATTATTACGTCACCCGGCGGCCTAGCTGGGGCCTGGCGGGGGGACCCAGAGCGCGCGCGCGTCATTACTATATTATAATACGCAGCGGCCCCCCTCGCTCTGCTGCGCGAAAAGGGTGGGGCCGGTGGGCCTTAGCATGCGCTAAAAAAATAAGTGGAACAAGTGGAAAAATCATTTCTTCAAAATGAAGGGGGATGTAGGGATGGTGTAAATTATGAAAAAGGATGCCAACAAAGAAGATGCTTTAGCCGACAACAAAAATCATACATCCATCCCTACATCTTTCTTTCGTTTGCTCTATATCAGAGCGTCGGTAGACGCCCTTAAAATGTGTGGTTACCTGTCATGAAGTAGCTATGTAAGATATAATTATACATAATTCACAACATAATAATGATCACAGTAGAGGATGTGTGAGTAAAGAAAGATGTAAGGACGGATGTATGATTTTTGTTGTCGGCTAAAGCATCTTCTTGTTGGCATCCTTTTTCATAATTTACGCCATCCCTACACCCCCCTTCATTTTGAAGAAATGATTTTTCCACTTGTATAATAATATGTGACCGTCCACGCGAAAAAGCGGTATAAATTCTGGCTCACAGGTCAACCACACCCACATCTACCTTTTCGAGAGTGGAGCTGGAGAAAGGAGAGAGAACGTTTAACGGGTCATTAATATAGTTCGAGCGAATAATTATTAGGCCATACCCATCGCTAGGATAATAGCGATCAGAAGCAGGAGAGGAGGGAAGAGACAGGAGAGAAACGGGAGGAGAGAAGAGAGGAGAGAAAATGAAAAGTACACGACTATAAAAGTTGGGTCGTAGCCTCTACCCAGGCCCCACCCGCGAGGAGAGGGCCTGGTATCCACTGCTTGCGCATACGCTGAATTTTATCTGAATGTCGATAAACCATGTATTTTCCGTATATTTTTCGTGTGACGCTAACGTCACCTAATAACCTGAGGAGGGTGGGTGGGGTCAATCCAGGCTAATTATAATACGGCGGCAGCGATCGCGCTCTTCACTACGCCCTGTTTCAGCTGGAACTCCAAGCATCACGCCAAAGCCCGAGGAAACAAAAGCTATATACTCCATTTACCAAGGTAGAGAAGTCTTTGTGTGGCTGCCCACCGGGTTTGGCAAATCTCTCTGCTAGGAGGTTTTGCCGTTCGTGATAGACCACAAGCTGAGCAGGATAGATAGTTGCGCAAAGTCGAGTTGTTTTGGTAGTATCTCCACTCATAGCGCTCATGATAGATCAAGTCTGTAGCCTACGCAAACGAGGAGTGAAGGCAGCATGTCATTAGCAGTGGTACTGGGTTTAGTAGCGTAGGGATTGCGAACAGTGCCTCTCTTGCCGGATAGGAGCACTGAATTGCTGGCGGTCGTAACTGACCGGCGCAAGCGACACACACAGGAGCCAGCTACATTTTTGTATACTCCACTAGGACACGTACGAGCTAGCGTATAGTGTATAGTAACGGCCAGTGGATCGCGGAGCGAGCGCGTGTACGCGCAATCCTTTACGTCATTAATTTACCCTCGGCGCGCATGCGCTGCGAGGGTTACTGTAGTTGGGTCTGTCTGTCTGTCTGTCCGTTACTCAACATCTCACTTCTCGAATGTCTGTTCGTCCCAGAAACGATACCATCTACCCAACGGACGATGAAGGTCAGAATTGGTGGGGTTTTGTCTGAAAATGCTCCGTTGCAAACCTACAGCATTGTATGGCATGCCGGTAGTCGCCATTTTATCGCTGCGGAAAATGCGCATGCGCTTATATTTAGAACAGGCTTACCTCGACCGGGTCCGCTTGCTCTGTCTATCTTGAAGGCACAAGAAGTCACAACGAATGGCGTGTATCGACTCTCGCATGCTATCTACTACTGTAGCTAGCCCGTGTCAGACTCTCAGCGAGCTACTAACGGGAGACCGCGAGTAAACGCATACTATACTAATAGCCCAGCACATAAATTTTAGAGGTACCGCACATGCGCAGTTCGCCGAGGGTTTGCACTTTCATTACCCTCGGCGCGCATGCGCAACGAGGGTAGAGTAGTTGGGTCTGTCTGTTTGTCTGTTACTCAACATCTCACTTCTTGAGTGTTTGTTCGTCTCACAAACGATACGACCTACTCAACGGGCAATGAAGGTTAGAAAATTTGTGGGGTTTTCTCTGAAAATGCTCCGTTGCAAAGCTACAGCGCTTCAAGCATTGTACGGCTAATGCATAGTCGGCCTTTTTTTTCGCTGCGGAAAAAGCGCATGCGCTTATATTTAGCACAGGCCAGGGGCGGATGCATGGGGTAGGGGCACCCCCTTAAGCTTCCAAAGTTATTGTTCATTAACTGTCAACTTACGTACTCTCTGAATACAGATATTACCAGCTAAGCAACTCTATAATACAGCAGCTGTGTCTCTTGATGAAGCTAAAGAGCTAGAGCCACAAGCTTGATGCTGCGCTGAGCGTCTCGAGCTAGCTATATAGCTCGAGTGTGTATGTACTACCGCGAACGGGCCACACCTACAATAGCAAAAGTTCAGAGTTCAAAAGCACGCGCATGGTGCGCGTGACTTTGAACTCTGCCATGCGCTAGATCTTTCCGTTACAATAATTATATTATTAACCCTCGGCGCGCATGCGCAGCGAGGGTTACGGTAGTTGTTTCGTAAGTGTGTCAGTCTGTCTGTTACCACGTTTTCTGCCACCACGCGCACGAATTCAGGTAAATAGCGATATGATCGGGTTCAGTGCTACACTGGATTGATTTTGAAAGAGGCGATTTTCGTAAAACTACTGCGTTCTAAAGTTATGGCGTGAAAACCAAGTGAACAAGCCAATATGGTAATTAGTACAGGCTTACCTCGACCGCTTCCGCTCGCTCTGTGTATCTTGAAGGCACACAACGAAGGGCATGTATCAACTCCCGCATTCAATCTACTACTGTAGCTAGCTACTAGCGGATACAACGAGTAAAGAAAAGAAAAGCCCAGCCCATCAATTAGTGGTACCGCGCATGCGCAGTTCGCCAAGGGTTTGCACTTTCATTATTCCCGGCGTCACCAAGAAGAATTCGGATGGTAGACATACTTAGCGCTATATAGTTCCGACTACGTATAGCTACGATAATCACACGTCATGTGTGCGGAAATGATGTCAAAAGTGGGCGTGGCACAAAAAATTTTCGCTGTGTAGTCTAAGCACCCCCCTACCGTCAATCCTGGATCCGCCCCTGCAGGCTTACCCGGGCCGCTTGCTCTGTGTATCTTGAAGGCACAAGAAGTCACAACGAATGGGCGTGTATCGACTCCCGCATGCTATCTACTAGACTGTAGCTAGCCCGTGTCAGACTTTCCGCGAGCTATACTAGCGGGAGACCACCACGAAATAGCCCAGCTCATCAATTTAGCAGTACCGCGCATGCGCAGTTCGCCGAGGGTTTGCACTGTAGTGCTTTTCATTTGCTCTTGACTTAGTTGCGTACACCCACCCACGTCGAAAATTACGCGCATGCGCAAGCAGTGGATACCTGGCCTTTCCTCACGGGTGGGGCCTCATGGGGACGAGGCTAGTTGGCTCGCTCCCGCTCGCCAATCAATCGTACACGCTAGTACGTGAGTATGGTCTATGCGCCACGTGTTCAATCACGTGACGAAGGTCGAGAGGTCGCCACGCTAGCCCTGAACTGAGTTTCGTACGAAAACGATTGCAGGTAGCTAGTTACAATGGGAAGGCCTTTAAAGATCGCAATAATAGTGGAGATCGTCATTCGCTTCTTAACCATACTGGTATAGAAAATCCTTGTGTAACTATTCTCTTGTAGCTATGTACTAATTCTTCCATATTTCTCCCCATGATCTATTTGTAGTTGGGATCTCTTCCAGCACTGATAGCATCAGCCGTGGCCCTTGGTCTCATGAAGAATATACCCCTCCGTCTCGTTAGTCCCACTTGCACTCATGCTTGAAGCCTGGGGAAGAAAGCGCAGAAGTAGCCATCACTTCTTGGAAAAAGTTTTGCGAATCGAATTTTTACCTTAGCAATAGGATAATCCAGCTTGCATAATTCCTTTGCAAGCAATGCAGTTCCTATTTCTCATTTAACAGAGCCCTCATTCTTTCTATATAGTATGACTATGATGATGCAGACGATAGAAAGACATTTGATGATGTTACTAGAGATGAAAATGAAAGTCTCCGCAACAGCATTTACATGGCGACAGGTTAGTCTCTCAATGTCGTCAAATCTTGTGTGTTTAGTTCTGGTGACAAAATTATTTGCAGGTTTGGCAATTGGTGTAACTTGTCTGGGAGCAATCATTCAACTGCTGTTCATTCCTTTTCGATTGTGGCTTTTTAGTGGTGAAAGCTTTCTCATCAAAATCTTCCTTGTCTTTGTAAGCTGTAGCTTTGTAACATACTCAACTGTTTAGATTCACTTACAGGATATTGTGATCAGTTTCGTGCTGGCTGCGGGTCATAATGTGGCTGGTGTCATGTTGACCACCCACAGCATTGATATCAAATGGTTCTTTGATTATGTTCAATTTATTAACAAGGACGACCCTGAAAAGATTAGAAATGCCATGGCTGCTAGTTCTGTGAGTCTCATTGTAGTATATCTCACCATGACTAGTCTATAAGCCGTGACGTCACTTCCTATTCCTTGCATTGTTGTATCACTATAACTATTGTAGCGTATATCTGTGGTCCTAAGCCAAGATACTTATGAACCTAAGATACGACATGGCAATGAGTAGGGGATGGTGGCCACAGGTACGCTCAGAAGGATAGAGGAGTTTGATAGTACCAGCGACTGGGAACCTATGTCAAACGGCTAGAGAATTTTTTCCTCGCGAACGACATCGACGATGATGAGAAGAAACGAGCCGTTTTCATATCCGTCATAGGACCATCCATGTACAAGACACTAAGGAATCTCGTCACTCCAGCAAAGCCAGCCGATAAGACGCTGACCAAGTTGGTTAAAGTGCTGTTGACACATTTGAAGCCGAAACCCTCAGAATGGAGCGCTTCAAGTTCCACAGCAGATCTCGTAAATCGGGCAAATCTGTAGCTACGTTTGTGGCGGAACTTCGATCTCGAGTTTTGCAATTTTTGAACCACCCTCGAGGGGAGTGGGTCATGTTCATGATGAAGAAGAGGAGGAGGAAGAGTCTGAGTCAGAACCAGAGGAGCAGAGAAAGAAGGGGAAGCCCAAGAATCTATTTTGCCACCAAAGGTATCTGGGAGTGCCCAACTCTCCTCCCATCATTGTGAAGGTGAGGTTGATAACTGTTTGATAAGCATGGAGGTGGACATTGGGGGAGCGCAAACCCCACTACTATCAGGCTCTGATCTTACTCCAAGGAACCCATCCCTGTGAAAAGCTGTTGCTATGTAAACATAGAGTATGAGGGTCAGACTGGGGAGAAACCACTTTTGATAGTGGGTGGCTCAGGTTCCACATTGCTTGGGAAAGATTGGCTGAGTCATATCCCATGGCCATGTACACTCAGCCTCCTTACAGTCTGTTCTTGCTCGGTACCCATCCGTTTTCAAAGAGGGTCTTGGCACACTCAAAGGGTTCCAGGCTAAAATCCATGTTGATCCCCAGGCTAAACCAGAGTTTCATCCAGCTAGGTCTGTACCCTATGACCTGAGGGATAAAGTTGTCCAAGAGCTTCAGTGTCTACATAGGGATGGCACGATTGAGCCAGTAGACATAGGTTAGTGAGCAACACCTATAGTTGTTGCCATCAAGCAGGATAAACAGAGTGTCAGGATTTGCGGTGACTTTAGCGTGACAATCAATCCAGTGTCCAAGCTAGACCGCTATCCGATCCCCAGGGTTGAGGACCTCTTTGCCAGACTTAGTGGAGGGAAGTACTTCTCTGAACTTGACCTCAGCCATGCTTACCAGCAACTTCCCTTGGACAAGGATTCCAGACGCTAGCTGTGTAGTGATAAACGCTCACCGTGGATTGTTTCTATTCACAAGGCTTCCTTTTGGAATTTCGTCAGAGCCTGGAAAATTCCAGCGAGTAATCGAGAGCTTGCTCCAAGGTATTGAGAGAGTCATCGTCTACTTAGATGACATCTTAGTCACAGGAAGTATGATGGTGAGTCATCTCAGAGCATTAGACGAAGTGCTGAGTCGTTTACACAAGGCTGGTCTTCGGGTGAAGCAAAAGAAATGTGCTTCCATGAAGCCATCGGTAACTTACCTAGGCCATCGTATCGATGCTCAAGGTTTACGCCCATTGCAAGATCGAATCAGAGCCATCCAGGAAACTCCAACGCCAATGTCCAAATTGAAGTCATACTTGGTAATGCTGTCGTATTATAGCAAGTTTCTGCCGAAACTCTCAACGGTCTTACACCCACTGCACCTCTTGCTTCGGAAAGACGTTCCATGGAAGTTGGGCAAAGACTAGGCGAAGGCATTCGCAGCATCTAACTACTGACCTCCGAGAGCCGTCTCACACATTTCGACTCGTCGTTGGAGTTGATCTTAGCTAGCCGCGCTTCAGCATAATAATATGTGCTCGGGGCAGTCTTGTCACATCACATGCCAGATGGTTCCGAGAGGCCTATTGGTTATGCCTCATGAACTCTCATCGTATGATGATTGCATCCTGTGGGGAACCAGAATAGTTGTCCCTTCACAGGGTCGTGAAGCGGTGTTACAGGAGCTACATGAGGGTCACCCAGGAATTACCAAGATGAAATCTCTTTCTATAATGTACGTGTGGTGGCCAGGCATCAATGCGGACGTGGTGAAATCGGTACGTTTTTGTCATGCATGCCAGTCGTCTCCACCACTAGACCCCCTGAATCCATAGAAATGGCCTACGAGACCATGTGCTAGACTACACCTAGATTTTGCAGGGCCATTTCAGGGAAACTCATTCTAGTAGCTATCGATGCGCATTCTAAATGGATCGAGGCAAAGTGCACCTCTTCTATGGAGGGTCATTAGTGGCAAAAAAAACTTTTTTTGTTTTCATGTCATTGGTACATTATGGTACTATTTTTCATAGTGATTTGGTATTTACAAATCGGTGCGTCACTTGTTTGGATGGTGAAATTCTATGTCTGAATGTGTACTCATTTGGATAGTGAAATTCTGTCTGAATGTGTGCGCATTTGGATGGTGAATTTCTACGTCTGATTGTATGCTCATTTGGATGGTGAATTTCTATGTCTGAATGTGTGCTCATTTGGATGGTGAACTTCTATGTCTGAGTGCATGCTCATTTGGATGGTGAATTTCTATGTCTGAATGTGTGCTCATTTGGATGGTGAATTTCTACGTCTGAATGTATGCTCATTTGGATGGTGAACTTCTACGTCTGAATGCATGCTCATTTGGATGGTGAATTTCTATGTCTGAATGTGTGCTCATTTGGATGGTGAATTTCTATGTCTGAATGTGTGCTCATTTGGATGGTGAATTTCTACGTCTGAATGTATGCTCATTTGGATGGTGAATTTCTACGTCTGAATGTGTTCTCATTTGGATGGTGAATTTCTATGTCTGAATGTGTGCTCATTTGGATGTGATTTCTACTCTGAATGTGCTCATTTGGATGTGAATTTCTATCTGAATGTGTGCTCATTTGGATGGTGAATTTCTACGTCTGAATGTGTGCTCATTTCGATTGTGATTTTCTACGTCTGAATGTGTGCTCATTTCGATGGGGAATTTGTAAGTCTGAATGTGTGCTCATTTGGATGGTGATTTTCTATGTCTGAATGTTAGGATGGTACACTATACTTATATAAATGCACACTCACTCTAATCATGCCTGTGCAGTGTGCACTAAATAGAAGTGTTTTTACTGCATGGGTGTGGAGTGGTGTGTCCGAACTATACCAAGGTGTTGGTATGCGCGTAAACTTTGAACCTTGAGTTCACATTCGAATTTCGCTATCTAAAAATGAGCCCACATTCAGACATAGACATTCACCATCCAAATGAGCACACATTGAGACATGAAATTGACCATCCAAAGGAGCACACATTGAGACGTAGAAATTCACCATCCAAATGCAGTAGCATATCCAAGGGGTTGATATGGGTGTTCAGACACCACCCTAAGACCGCGCTAAGGACCGCGTAGCGTGCGCACGCGCAATTGCGCGTCGGGATATTCCGCATGCCTGTGGTCTGGGTTTCCGCGTGTTGCGGTCAGCTGGCGCACCTAACCGCACCAGGAAGATGTCGCTCCTACTTCCTGCCCTCTTGCGCATGCTCAAATAATTAATTACTAGTGGAAACGTTGCATTGTTGGCGAACGGGAGCGATCCCATTTAGGATTTGCCCGCGATGTTCGGGCCGCATAACGTGCCGTCAGCGCACTCCTTCCGTGAAGCAAGACAGATCTACCTGTCGCCGTTACATGCGCACTGTATATTGGTGAGCAGGGGAGCAGAGCCTCTCTCTGCTCAGTCTCACGGGCACGGAGCTGTGCGCGCCAGGCCTGTTCCGTTTCCCTGATTCCGCAGCGCGTCTAGCTCAATCTCGTACAAACACGACGTCTCGCTAGTCGTGCTTCCCTTTCTTCCGCTGTTTCGGCGGCGAGGCGTTCCCTTGCGCATTCCCTATCACGCAGTCGGCGTTGTGAAGCCCGTTCCCTATCACGCAGTCGGCGTGTGATCACTGGCACGACGTTCTCTTTCCCTCTCTCTTCGACGACGAAGGGCATCTGATGAATGATCCACGGTTGCCACGGTTGTCGAGTCAGACATTATATCACACGTGCATGTATGTAACGAAGCCACGAAAGCGCACTTACACGACCTACGGTCACATGAGCCGATAACGACTGGGTTGGCTCGCTCCCGCTCGCCAATTACTACTTCCGCCACGATAGCACCCCCTATTCGATAATGCAGGAAACGCCACTGAAATGAGCACTCATTCCAGACATAGAATTTCACCATCCAAATGAGTGTACATTCAGACAGAATTTCACCATCCACAGTAGCGTAGGAAGATGTTCAGACAAAGGGGGGCTCCAATGCGCATGCGTAAAATTCATACGCTGCGTGCGATCACTGTCAAACTCGCTCACTTTCTACATGCAAGCCGGATAAATTATAGGCGGGGCGCCAGCCCCCGGAGCCCCCGTGGTTCCTACGCCACTGATCCAAACCAGTGACGCACTAATTTGTAAATACATAATCACTAGTACAATAATGTATAATTATACCAATGACATGAAAACAAAAAAGTGTTTTTTGCCACTAATGACCCTCCATACTCATCTACATCATCTTCATGCGTTTATCAAAGAATTTCGTACGCTGTTCGGTCTGCCAGAGACAATAGTGACAGACAATGGCACGGGTTTTACCAGTGAACAGTTCAAATCTTTTCTCAAAGAAAACGGTGTTAAGCATATAACATCGGCCCCCCTACCATCCAGGGTCTAATGGTCTTGCAGAACGTGCAGTCGAAATCGTCAAGAAAGGACTGAAGAAAGTCACCACTAGATCAATGAACACCCAGTTAGTCAAAGTCTTGTTATTACACCCCAATGGACAACTGGAATTTCACCCGCCGAACTTCTTTTACATCGACAACCTCGTACTCGTATCGATCTTCTACGTCCGAATACTCTGCTCAGGGTGGAGGAAAGGCAGCAAGTTCAGAAACGAAAACACGATTCGAAAGATCGAGCTCGCTCGTTTCAGAATGGTGGTCTGGTGTATGTAAAGAACTTTAGTGCAGGTCCACAATAAAGGTAATTGAGGTATCAGGTCCAGTCTCTTGCGTCATACAGTTGAATGATGGAAGACAGAGGCGCTGTCACATCGACCACTTGCGTGCTCAAATGGGAGATGCTGACAATGATGAAATGTCGCGCAGATCATCCCTGATGACACCATTCTGTTGGCTCCAACAACCACTTCCACTACTACTGAGACTGCCACACCAGTAACCCCTACTGTTCAGCCAGAAACTGAAACCACTGAACCAATCGTTCCGACTACTACATCTATACCTACACTTTCATCTGTGGACGATTCAGGACATCGATATCCTCGCCCAAATCGAAAACCAAGAGAACACTTTGAACCAGAAACTAATTGATCTGTGAGGACTGATTTATTGTTATGACAATATCTTATGCATGCCTGCTCATTTTCTTTTGTTTTTGTTTATGCTAATATTCTTTTGTCTGTTCTTATTGCTTGGTTTTTGTATGTTGTCATCTTCCTAAGGGGGAAGGAATGTAGTATATATCACCATAACTAGTCTATAAGCCGTGATGTCACTTCCCATTCGAATTCCATGCATTGTTGTATCACTGTATAAGGTAGCCTATTGTAGCATAATTATTTCTGTGGTCCTAAGCCAAGATACTTAAGATACGACACTCGTCATTTTGTGAGAAACTGATAACCATTTTCCTTTCTCTTTCTCTCCCTCAAGGCACTTTGCTCCAACGCTACATTCATGTTCATCATTCTGGCCGTGTTTATGCTCTTCTTTCTGTACAAGGATTGGAACAAAACGGACGTCAATACAGCTTCATTGAACAAGACTGACAAGCTATTAGATCAGAGCTCAATGTAACTAACCTGTTAGCTAAGTAAAAACAGTTGCTTAATGCATAGCTAACAAACTCTTAGTGTCATTGTGTATAGTGCGTGTGGCGAACCCTCGACCTTTACCCCGTGATATTATATAGAACAGTCTAGAATATTCCGGACGTACTGACTAGTACTAGTTAAGCGCTCGTGCTACATGACCTTCTCGAACTTTCCCCGCGCCCAATAATTTCCAGAGTGTACGAGCGAGGGCGGTACTTTAACTGGCTTGCAGTCAGATCAGGCGTCGCAATGAAATGGAAGAGGCCGCGCGTGTTTCGCTCAACCCGTATTTCGTGCCTGACGGCTGGTTTTCAGACGTGGACGATGGCTCCTCACCATTATGAGTATTTTCCCTAACTGTTCTATATTTTCCCAACCGTTCTATATTTTCCTAACTGTTCTATATTTTCCCTAAAACTGTTCTATATTTCCCTAAGTGTGTGGTCCACCCCACCTAACCACTAATTGCCTGTGTTATCATAACTGATAGCTTGCAACAGCAGGGTATACCGGGTTTGTAGTAATACTTTTTCCTTTGATGTTGTAAGGCTTCTGATTACAAGTTAGGATATATTAGCGTGTGCATTTCATATTGGATCAGAGTGTATGTGTGTATCCATGACTGAATGGTTGTAGAAGCGCCAACTTTGAGTCTCTACATTGGTGACCACGACGTGAGTTATGGCCCGCAAGGAAGGACCTGGGACACCTCATGCCCACACGGCGGCGAGTGCAGCGGGAGCCATCTGGCTGCGGTACACTTGAAATGAAAAGCACTGAAGTGAAAACCCTCGGCGCACTGTGACGTGCACGTACCACTAATTGCTGGGCTGGGTTTAGTTTTAGCGTGGTCTCTTGCCAGCTCGCGCGGAGTCTGACGCGGGCTAACTACACTACTAGATAGTATGGAAGAGGCGATACACGCCCTGCGTTGCATCTTCTGGTGCCTCCGAAGTACGCGGAGCACGCGGATCGATCCGACTATGGTAAGCCGTCCCGTCCGTTGTGTATTTGCATATTGGTTTTTCGCGCTCTAGCTTTGCAACGGAGCAGTTTCAAAGAAAACCGTTCGAAAGTTCTGACCTTTCATTGCCCGTTAAGTAGGGCGTATCGTTTGTGAGACGAACAGAGATTCGAGAAATGAGATTGAGAGTAACAGACAGACAGACAGACAGACAGACAAACCCAACTACAGTACCCTCGCTGCGCATGCGCGCCGAGGGTAACTACTGCGAATAATACGCATGCGCGATATCCGCAGAGTAAAATGGCCGACACTAGCTGTATGCCGTACAATGCTGGAAGCGCTCTAGCTTTGCAACGGAGCATTTTCAGAGATAACCGCGCATATATACTGACCTTCATTGCCCGTTAAGTACGTCGCATCGTTTGTGAGACGAACAGACATCCGAGAGGTGAGATGTCGATAACAGACACACAGACACACAGACCCAACTACTGTACCCTCGCTACGCATGCGCGCCGAGGGTAACTACCACCCTTTTGGCCCGCCGACGAAGTTTAGTTTACCCAAGTAGAGGCTCAGTTCTGCACGCGCGGCATCACCTCTCAAAAGACCAAATACGACTATGTTGTCGCCTAGCTCTCGCCCGAGTCGCCACGGAGGTATATACGCGATCACATTCTCCGCGTCCCGTACGACACACTCAAGCAGCAACTAATCCAGCGGACCTGTCTTCCTGAGCAGCGACGCTTACAACGACTTGTTCATTCTCTAGAGCTCGGCGACAATACGCCCACGCCACTTCTCCGGCGGATGCGACAGCTACTAGGAGAGAGCTCGACAGCAGTAGAGGGTACACTCCTGCGCGAACTTTTCCTTGTGTGACTACCTGCCAACGTCCGCCTGGTATATACTCGCCCCGTCCATCTCCGGGAAGAACCTATAGGAAATAGCGGAACTGGCCGATAGCGTTATTGTCATCTCTCCGCCCCACGTGTCAGCCATAAACCCGCCTACTCCAAAAGTGGACTCTCCGCACAGAGATTAAAGAACTGAAAGAACTCGTCCCCACCCTCGCAGCAAGCCCTCGCTCACCACGACCGCGTTCATCCTCGCAACGTCAGCAACTTCGTTTCCAATCTCCATCTCCACCTATCTCCCCCGTCAACTACTCTCTGTTGGTACCATCGCCGCTTTGGTGATCGAGCCCGCAACTTCACACCACCTTGTGCCAGGTCGGGAAACGACGGGGCCAGTCGTTAGCGGCGACGAACGCTACTGGCCCCACACCTAGTCACCTACTCTTCGTTACAGACTGTTACACCGACCTAAAGTTCCTCGTCGACGGAGGGGGCTCAAGTAAGCGTCCTCCCCCCGTCGCTCAAGGAACGTCTGCACCCTCGTTCAGACCTTACGTTCCAGGCCGTCAACAACATGCCAATCCCTATCTTCGACACACGCTCCCTCAACCTCAACCTCTGGCTGTGACGCACCTTCAGATGGGTTTTCATCGTGGCGGAAACATCGACTCCTATCATGGGAGCAGTCTTCCTGCGGCATTTCGGAAAACTGGTGGACCTCAAGCACTACCAGCTTATATAGCTGTCCAGGGAATCGTATGGCAGGAAATGTCCCTCAGCCCATCACTGCTACCGCGGAAACCATGCAGCCAACATTTGTGAAGCCATCTTGGCCGAGGTAACACAGCCCAGCAACATGGCCAAACCCATCAAACATAACGTCACCCACCATATAACCACCACAGGACCCTCAGTCACAGGACGGACACGTGGACTCGCACCGGAGAAACTCAAGATTGCCCGTCAGGAATTTCACCACATGCTTGAGCTTGGCATCATTAGACCCTCGTCGAGTAACTGGGCATCCCCACTCCATATGGTGCCTAAGAAGACAACTGGCGACTGGTGTCCGTGTGGCGACTATCGAGCACTCAACCGGGTTACTGTCCCTGACCGCTACCCTATCCCGCATGCTTTGCTCCATGGTGCTCGGGTGTTCTCCTAAATCGACCTGGTACGGGCATACCATCAAATTCCTGTCGAGCCTTCCGACGTTCCGAAGACTGCCATTACCACGCCATTTGGCCTCTTTGAGTTCCTGCGCATGCCGTTCGGTCTTCTCAATGCGGCCCAAACTTTCCAGCGTTTATCGACCAGGTACTGCGCGGCCTCCCCTTCGCCTATGCCTACCTGGACGACCTGCTTATCGCCAGCGCCTCTACCGAAGAACACCACGCCCACCTGAGCCAGGCAAGTCCATCTTTGCAGTTTCCGAACTTGACTTCCTTTGACACTGTGCCACCGCTCACGGAATCAGGCCATTGGACGACAAGGTCAGTGCTGTTCGGAATTTTCCACAACCGTCAACACTCTGTGGACTGCGTGAATTCCTCGGTATGGTATAAACTTCTACCATCGCTTCATTCCCAACTGCAACAGGATCTTACAACCGCTATATCGGCTCCTCTGTTCTCCAATTCACCACTCACACCAGCTGGCATGAGACAAAGAAGCCACCACTGCCTTTCGCACGGTCAAACAGGCACTGGCCGACGCTACTCTCCTAGTGCACCCCAGACCACACGCTCCTACGTGCATCATGACGGACGCATCAGGGTATGCCGTTGGGGCAGTCCTGCAAAAACACATCGACGACGAATGGCGCCCCACCGCTTACTTGTCTAGGAAGCTGCACCCCCCAGAAACACGGTACAGCACGTTCGATCGTCAGCTTCTGGCCGTCTATCTCGCCATCAGACCCTTCCAATACTTCGTCCAAGGCCGTGAGTTCTTTGTTCAGAGTGATCAAAAACCCTTGTCATATGCCCTTGCTTTTCACTCAGACAAGTACACCCCGAGGCCGACCCGACCTCTGGACTTCATTGCCATATTCACCACAGACATCTGTCGACTTTGAGGCGACGGCTAGAGCACAAGCCACTGATCCAGAGCTGAGGACACTCCATCTTCTTCCTCTTCCTCTCTGTAGCTCACCACGGTGCCCCACCTGTCCTCCTCTGCAATTCTAGTTTGCGATACAAGCACAGGTACCCCACGACCTTTCGTTCCAGCCGCATTTCGACACACCGTTTTTTATTCTCTTCACTCTCTGTCTCATCCGGGGGTCAAGGCCACCACACAGCTCATCGCAGACCGTTATTTTTGGCCTCACATGAGCACCCACTTCAAGGCCTGGACTAGATGTTGCATTCCCTGCCAACGTGCGAAGATATACCATCATATGCTCACCCCCTGTCAACCTTGCCGGTTCCGGATGCCCGCTTCCAACAGATTCATCTCGACATTGTCGGCCCACTGCCTCCCTCCCGGGGATTCTCCTATCTGCTCATCTGCATTGACCAGTTCTCCCGCTGGCCCGAGGCCTTTCCGATGACCGATATTGCCGCGGAGTCCGTGGTTCGTACCTTCATTAGTGGTGGGTTGCGCGTTTCGGTTTCCACTGTCACCACTGATAGAGGACACCAGTTTGAGAGTCAACTCTGGCGACTCCTCACACAACTTTTGGGATGCAAGCACCTGTGCACGACAGCCTATCACCCTATCACAAATGGTACGGTTGAAAGGTTTTACCGCCAACTGAAAGCCTCCCTGCTGCTACTTGCTGGACGGAGACATTGCCACTCGTTCTCCATGTAGGGGGCTGAATCAATATTTCATACACACAACCTTTACGTTTTATAATGCTTGTAGCTATGACCCATCAGAAAAGAGTGGATGTTCAATTCCACTAAAATGTAAATTGGATGCAAGATAATATATGAAAAGCACTAAAAATGTGGAACCCATATACACAAGTGTGGCACCACCACAATTGTGATTGTCTTGACCATGCATCAAAAAGAACAGCAATGTATGCACGGATTAAATGGCCAGCCCTATTTCATGGTTTGTGTGAGCCAAAAAAGTAAATAAAATAGCAAACCTCTATTTTGTATTACCTGTGGATTGTTTAAGGCAAAAAATAAACAATCTAAAAGTCGAAAAAAAGAATATATCGGCCAGCCTGCACAGTTTGCTGGCCAGTTTCACTTGCTCTCTTGCTTGCCATGTGCTCTCTATTCTGCTGTTAAGAGAGCATCATCACTATCAGAACAGTCCTGATAGAGTAACAGCTCCCATTTAAGATACGTAGTCTTCGAAATCTCGCAATGCCGAACTATACGCTGCCCTTTGAGAAACATGGGTCAGTGGTAGATTTGTGGGTAAGGGGAGGAAACAGAGCTGTTCCCAGCCAATGCTCTGGACCACCTGACACTTTAGTACGGGATCGAGATTCGACCTATGGTGGCCCCCACGACTCTAACCACCTAGCCACTCGGGCTGGCCTTGAGAGGTAATGAAAAACGTTCCACTTACTTGAATTTAAATCAAAGTACCTTCTGCGAACTGCATATGCGCGATACCTCTAATTGATGGACTAGGCTAAGTACGTATGCGTTTACGTTTACTCGCGGTCTCCTCCCGCTAGGAGAGTCTGACACGGGCTAGTGATAGTAGCATGTGGGAGTCCAATACACGTCCTTCGTTGTAACTTCTTGTGCCTTCTAGATAGAGCGAGCGGACCCCACTAATTGGCCACGCAACGCGGTCCGCGACCGTGAAAGTTTTTCGCTCTCGAACGCAGTCGTTTCAGCAAAATCGCTGTTTTAGTTTCAGGTTCCCGTGGTTCTGCAGCCGTTGGTATCGCTCGTAGCCGCTTCGTAACCTGTAGTGCCAAAATAAGCGTCGACAGACGCAGACAGACAGACAGACAGACAGACAGACAGACAAACCAACTACTCTAACTCTTGATGCGCATGAGCGCTGAATATTAAATATAGTTACTTCTGGCAATGCTATCTGTGTTATTTGTCAGATGAACGATAACAAAAGGTGAAATGGCAGGAGCAGTTGCTGGCATAACCATTTTATAGCTATCATGATCAAGTTAGCCCTAGATCTCACATTGGAATATCCACAGACTGGTAACTACAGTTCAATGTTGATTCATTGCACTAACGATTCTGGGGAGCGACTTCCTCCTCCTCCTTTCGTATTCGTACTGAATGGAGTGGACGTTGCATTTCCTGGTAGGGTGGATAGTTGGAGCGGCCACCTGGAATCAACAGTATCATCTTCAACCAGCAACAGGAGGGAACACTCAGTTATAGACTTGGAGATGATGAAGCTCATGTCCAGCTTGCAGGTGTGTATAGAAACCATGCTTGCCTCTCTTCCACCTCTGTTATTATCATTGTTTCATGCGTGGGGTGTCGTCTGCCACTAAAGTAGACCTATACCTGGTTAAGGAACTCTTCAGGTGTGCATTCCTAGTGCTGTATTAGAGCACTGGACAGAAGGATCTGGCATGAGAGGATGTTATAGTGTTTTATTGTGTCAAACATGGTAGCAAGCTGTAAATGAGTCATAGAACATTTGCTACTTTCTTCATTGTTTCCTTGCTTGCGCGCTACTGAACCGTAGGATAGCAATCAACTCAAACAACACTTTTGCTTTCCTGAGTGGCACTAAATCCTTAGCACTGTAAGCTACCACTGCATTTCAGCATACTTAATGGTTTGTTTCTGGTAGCTAACTGTCGCCATAAACAGTCTTGCTAACCATGGTATAAATTTGGATGTGTGCGCATCAGAGTTAGAGAGATTCATCACTCGGTCACTATTGGCAGGTTCTATCTGCAGTATCAGAAATGACCTCTTCTCAGAGGATAGAGAGTCCGGTATAACTACCGCGGGTGACGCCCTCGTGACAAGAAGAAAGGAAGACCAACAGTGATAAAAGTGTAAAGGAAAAGCACGCATCTGACATACATATGCCAGCTGGTGGGCGCCATTAACTGTAAGACAGCAATACCCGCGAACACTCCTAACAAATGGGAAGCGGTCCAGAGATGAATTTACTGCCTGGCATCAGGTGACATTTAGACGGACAGTTTTACATCAGTCTTGTGACACGCTAAACGCTAGTCGTTGTCTGAACCTGATACGCCGATGATCAACATTCCCGACAATGGCGCAACCACTGCCTTTCGCTCAACAGTAGTAAGTGACATCAGTTCTCTAAAGTCCTCTGTGGACAGCCTGAGGGAGGATATCCAACTTCTGAATGGGAAATTGTTTGTTGACCGGGTTTCGCCACTTTTCTCACAACATGAATTTGTTTAAGTTTAAGAACAATGGTAAAGGATTCTCTGGAGGGCCACGAACACAGCATTGTAAAACTCATCCTTAGTTGAGCAAACATGGACGTCTTAGACTGCACACAGTGCAGTCACAACCAAAAACCGAGTAGCTGTCAGAGATGGCAACACCTGTGTATTACATGCTTATCATTCTATGAGGGAGCACAGTCATGCTTCGGGACAATATAGGGCTTGTGTGGAGGAAAATACGTGCAAGCAATGTCAGTTTGAAAATGTAACCATCGTCCATTCTACTACTGCATCATATACACTATAGGTCATCCCTGTCTTGTCTCCTTGCGTTTTATGCCATCCCTATATTCCACACTTGTTTAACCGATTACACGCCGTTAATTTTATGCGCGCATGCGTGCGCACGCCATTATCAGCGAGAAGCATCTATGAGGCCTGTGTGGTTCCCGTGCTGCTGTTCGGCTGTGAGAACTGGATGCTGACAGATTCGATGCTGCATCAGCTGGAATCATTTCAGGGGGAAATTGGTCGTCGCATATTGAAACTGTCGAAGTATCACTCTACACTTTCTACTCGTTTGGCTCTCAGGTGGCCCTCAGTAACAGCAAGAATGTTTGTTCGTAAACTGAGTCTTCTATCAAAGGTGTCTGATGACGGAAATAGCATTGGGAGGCAAATATTTTCAAGCTCACCACAAGATTCTCTCAGGCTCGTGCAGGAATGTAGAGCTATGGAGGGTAAGCTCTCCTGTCAGGGCTCTACCGATGCCATGCTCAGTGCCCAGTCAACTCTAAGAGAATTAAAGCGAGAAGTATTACAGGCAGACTGGGAGGCCTGCACCACCGAGGCCAGCCGTCACAACAGTACAGCGATTGCATCAGGAATAGCTGCTGATACATCTTGGATGAAGCTGTGGGACATGGCACTTGATTACGGACCTCGTGGTACTGACTCTCTACAGGCCCTTTATCGCGAATTGACCAGGCCACAGTTTCAGCCAGGCATCTGCCATCTCTGTGGTGCCACAATGGATGTTTCTTACTTTCATCACTATACTCTCTCTCACACGCCTCTCTCAGACCCAGACCAGATTATCAACTCTCTTTCGTCCGCTACTTCTGATATTTTCATGTATGCTAGACATTACAAGTAACTTTATTTTTTGTAAAACATGTCGTGCCTATTCTTGTTTGGCTTGCAGTGCATTAAAACCTTTGACCTTTGTAAGTGTGCGGCCGGATTTCGCAACCGCGTATATACACGTGGTCTTCGTGTTCCGGAACAATTTGTTAGTTACTTGTCCTATTACTGCTCTTATACTCTACCACTGACTCTTACTGTATGTGCAGTAATGTAGCTATGTGTTTTAATAATAGTTCATTATTACTCCTTTCTCTTGCACTATTCTAATAAAGTTACTCGACATCTAAAACACATTCTCACATCTAATCTGAGTCCTTTGCCGTGTTGGTAAAGAATGTTTTGGCCGTTATCAATTATACTGTTCAAAAGGTGACTTGGAAACCACATATAGCTAGCAGCACGGAACAAAAAAATGCCAACAAGGTGCTAATACTATTTTACAACAGGCGACAGGCTCCAACAATCTCACTGCGAAATGCTACTACAGATTCAGTGTCGGTTGAGCACTGAGTTATTCATATCCCCACATGCCAAGAGGGCATTATGGTCTCCTCAGCTTCAGAGAAGGAAAATGAAGTAACGGATCTTTGGGTGGATAATGGTGCTTATTGCTTTAGCCATACGGAACATAGAATTGTTTGCTCACAGAGAGGGTGGCTCACTGACATAATTATCGGTGCAGCTCAGATGCTCTTACTGCAGTTCTATCTCAGCATATCTGAAATGCAAACTCCTTTACTGCCTTCAAAAGGTAATTGAATTTCAGGTCCATTCTTGAGAGTTTGTTCAGATTGTGCATGTCAAGAACAACCACTGGTGTGTGGTATCCACCGTGGGGTGTGTGAGCGGAGTGATGCGTGTGTATATACGATCGACCGTCCCCGGTGCACCACACTTCCAGAATTAAAAATGGTTGACGACAAGTGGAGGATTACTCCAAATTTCTGTGTAAAATATGCTTTGAAAACAAACTTTAGAGTCTAAAAGGATAGCTATTTCATCAAACGCGCGGTCCCGCCTCGACAACGGCTAATAGTAATACACGCACCCCCCTCTTATTACGTGTGGGGCATAACTCGTCTGCGGGGCCGCATGAAGCAGGCTTAGGACTGTAGCTAGTTGTTCCGACAGTGAATCTCACCGTCCTGGAGCCGACACGTAAAAAATGCAGGTCCTACGCGGAATAAGCTTTTTACTTCTTGTTCAGATTGTTGTCGGTAAGGATTGAGCGAGCTGGTACATAGCTACGGTGAGACTGCTCCTCTGTTGTCTGTAGTTACTGGGCAGGAGTGCTCCGAGGAGGGAGTGGTGAGGTTGGCAGATGGCGTGAATGTGGACGGAGTCGGAGTTTACGGCAGAGTGGAGATCTGCATCAACCAACAGTGGGGCACGGTGTGTGACGACGGCTGGGACGTGGCAGAAGCCCGCGTCGCCTGCTCACAACTGGGTGATTTCGACTGTAAGTGTAGCGAGCTATAGCTATAGCGGCTTATGCCTGGCCTTTGATTCATTTGCAGTCGCTAATCCTTTTACCGAATATGGCGGTGGATCTGGTCGAATTCACAGTTTTTCTTGTGCTGGGAATGAAAATGGTCTTCTGAACTGTTCGAGCGATCTAGATGTTGATTACTGCTACCACTTTAAAGATGTTGGAGTTAGATGCTATTATGGTTCGTTCATTGATCTCAGATACCATAATATATAGCTTGACATTAAAACTCCATCATCCGCAGCGCAGTGTAATGAGACTGACGTTAGACTGGTTGATGGCAGGACTCCAAATTATGGACGGGTGGAGATATGCTTTGTAGGGGGTTGGGGATCTGTGTGTAATGATGGTTGGGATGAAAGAGATGCAGAAGTGGTGTGTAGACAATTAGGATGTGATGGAAGTGAGTTTGCTCTGTAACAATCTGTATTATCTGATGCAATGTTCATCATCCCAGGGCCTATTGCACTGATAAACTATCCAGTATTGTCTAATTACCCACTGCAATATCACCTTGATGATGTTGAGTGCTCTGGAAGCGAAGATATGTTGAGTGATTGTGCACATGGCGGAATTGGTGTTCACGATTGTATGGAAATGGCAGAAGTAGCTGGAGTTATATGCAGTGGTGAGTTTTTTTTGGTGTATAGTCCCATCTCTGGAGTCATTCGTGTGCCAATGAATGTCAGAGTGCAACGAGACAGATGTAAGACTGGTTGATGGTGTGACTTCTGATGACGGACGAGTTGAGATATGTTTCAGTGGGCTGTGGGGCTCAGTATGTGACGACAGTTGGGACTATAGAGATGCTAGAGTTGTTTGTCAGCAACTAGGGTACAACGGAAGTAAGTTCTTCCCTTCCAATACATATGCTCACTTCTTCATTTCCACGCAGCGTCTGTTGCACTGTCAAGTCATCGCGTGTTAACAGACGAGTCGCTGTTCTATTATCTTGATGATGTTGACTGCCGTGGGAACGAAAACTTACTAAGTCAATGTGAACATGGAGGAGTTGGTATACATAACTGTGGTGTGGGGCATCAAGAAGCTGGAGTTATATGCAGCAGTAAGCTTTAGTTTATAATTGTAGTATGGCGCAAAGTGCAGCATCTGAAAAAATTATTATTACCTAGACGCCGTTGAATGCAACGAAACTGATGTTAGGCTAGTTGCGGGTACAACCCCCTATGATGGACTGGTTGAGATTTGTCTCTATGGGCTGTGGGGCTCAGTGTGTGACACCAGATGGGACTACAGGGACGCTGGAGTTGTGTGCCGACAGCTGGGATATGATGGACGTAAGCCTAAGAGCACTCAGACATTAATAAACAAACTCCACATGAATAGAGTGTTATAACCAAATATTTCATCCATTGCACTTGATTTCTATTTTGCTAAAATAGCCTCATATCCTTTGCTAAGCCACGATGGCAGTAGTGAACTACGGTATCATCTGGATGATGTCCACTGTGAGGGAACTGAGAGCAGTCTCAGTGACTGCAGTCACAGAGGTATTGGGGTCCATTACTGCTACCTGTACGAACCAGCTGGAGTCGTATGTACCAGTGAGTTTATGCATATGGTGTTTAACGTAGTTAGTACGATGCTGTAAGGGACAAATCCAAAACAAATAATTAAAACGCCCTATCATAGCCCCATACCTACATATGATGCTAGGTACTGTGCCCATCCCTATATATAATACATTTCCGTACAGAAAAAGGCCTATTTGACGCAAGGTTTGTATGTAGGAATATTTAATAGGAGTGCTATTGTAGTACAAGTAGATGATGGATGGTCTAAGCATATTACAGTTATATTTTGCTTTCCTGTAAGCTGCAGTTTTCTCTCTAGATGTAACGTGTATTGAGGGAGCGGTCCACCTGGTTGGTGGTGATGATGTATCTCGAGGGAGAGTGGCGTACTGCTATAATGGAACCTGGTACTCTGTTTGCGCCAGTGACTGGGATACCACAGGAGAGGAGGCAAGAGTTGTCTGTGAAACCCTCGGCTACGATACATCTTACTATGGTGATTAATATGCATGTTGCCTTATGAAATTGTGATATATATGTATATATTTTTATAGCTTCAGTTGTTGTCAACTATGGTCGAGGAACAGATCCAATCCTCCCACTGAGTATTGAATGTGGCAGTGGTACCAGTGCATTCAGTGACTGCTCTACAGCTGAGCTTGATGTTAGTCAGTGTTCACATGCTGCTGGAGTGGACTGCTTCGGTACACTTTTTTAAATTTTGCCACAAAGTTTTCAATCCCTCCATGACTATTTCTCACAGCAATCTGTACTACAGTTGGTCTTACTGACTGCAGTCAATGCAATGGTGAATCCTGCACTAGCCATTATGGCTGTCGCTGTGGCTCTGACTGCTTCTTTTATGGCAAATGCTGCCCCGACATCTCCGTGACAAAGAATTGCTTTGGTGAGTTTGCTACGTACAGCATAGCAGGAAAATTTAAGATTTTTGACGGATTGCTTACCCCAACTCGTGCCAGAAATATTTTGCAGGCGGCTAGCAAGGAAGACCCTTAAGAATAGTTTGATTTTATGGTAGCTCTAATACTTACTCCAAAAAGAAAATGCTCTCACAGCAGCATAATAGTTCTAAGACTAAATGCATGCAAAGACTGTTCTTTTGTGCAACAGTGGAAGAGTGTGAGCACGGAGCAGTTCGTCTGGTGGGTGGACTAACAGACTCCACCGGGAGACTGGAGCTCTGTGCTCTTGGGGTGTGGGGCAAAGTCTGCAATGCTTTTGGATATTGGGGTCCTGACACTGCCAGAGTGGTGTGCCGTCAACTTGGCTTCTCTGAAGATGGTGAGCTATATTATGACAAGAAGCTCCTACTGCTGAATATCCATTACGAACTTCAGTCAATTAACTGGGTTAATGCGGTGAATCACATAGTAAAGACGGTAAAAATTTAATGAACTCAGAAGTAGCTTCTTTCATCAATACTAATAGAATTTTATATTGTTGGTTTATCTGCCTGCCTGTTCCTAAATGTTGTTGAGCGTTAAGTTCAATATGTCTCCTCACTAAACTCAAATGCATACAGAAAGAGTATGAATTTAGTCGGCGTGTGCTTAACTGTGCATCCCGTTTTGCTCATTAACATTGCGGAAACTCCATATAGCTAACCTGCGTGATCACATTGGGATAGCAACCTTAGAGTATCAGTAAGTTTTAGCATCAAAAATGGTTCCTCCCACAAATGTAGGTGCATATATCCTGAAAGATGACATAGAGCGATTTGGGACCAGTGATAAAGATGCAGTAATAGGAAAAGTCCACTGCATTGGAACAGAGTCAAGGCTATTGGAATGCTCCCACAGCAGCATTGGGTTCCACTACTGTAGTCCCTACTATTTTGATTATGACGAACTAGACATTGTCATCAGCTGCTATGGTATGTATGGGTGTGCATGCATTTCAGGGATTAATGTTTCTAATCTGGACAACAGAAACGAGTTTAAAATATTACGTGTCCTTGCCATGCATGAACTGTTACAAAAACGCCTTAATAGAGAGACTGACACGCCCATGTATAGACTGTTCCACTGTACAGTATAGACTCATGAGGTTGGCCAATGCACAAGCAGTTTTAAATGCTAAGTATAGTGACTGAGACCACAAACCTATTTTGCACACACTGTTTAGAAGGAATTTCAACCACAGACCTTGTTTTTTTACAAAACAGATGAGGTGAGAGGCTGTGAGGATGGAGAGGTGAGGCTGGATGGTGGGTTTACCTCTTCCACTGGTCGCATGGAGGTCTGCATGGACAGGAGATGGGGAGGAGTCTGCAGTGATGGGTTCAATGTGAAAGATGCTAGAGTCGTGTGCAGTGAACTAGACTTCAACCCAGGAGGTAAGTTGAATGTTTTGGCAAATAAAGAAGAGTAGTCCATAGGGAACGGCTTTTACCATTTTCGTGTGTGACAGCAGTGTAGCTGTGGATTGCACAAACCATCTGGGGTGACTTTGCTCCCAAACTGGCTATGCACCCCTTATTAATGCACACTTTAATGCTATTTATAGTTTTAACCTATATTAGTATCAAGCCTTTATTCTGTATAATGCTAGATGGTGCAATAATTGAGGGGCCTGTTACCCTTGAGGCTAGTCCAGTGTTTGTTGGGAGTGTGACATGCACGGGCTCCGAGCAGAGTTTCAGTGAATGCAGTCACGACAGGCCACCCAGTGGAGGGTGCTCAGTTGCAGCAATTTCTTGTGGAATGTCAAGCTCCAGTGAGTAACTAATTAGCGACCACCTAGAATCTAGACTCATTAAATGATAATATTCCTGTGATAATTGATACAGATCAGACGAGATGTACCCAAACTTTCCCTACTTCAGTACCTGAGCTACAGAGGTATGTGGGGTGTGGGGGCATGTGTGGCCACTATACTGAAATTAGTTTCAATTTCCCCACGGACATACAGTGAAACTCAGTAAATTATTGCAGAAGACATGTAATTTCAGTGTGAACCGTATGAATTCTCATTGTAGCTACATAAACTGTAGCCACTGCATGCATAGGAATCTGACACAAACCTACATGTCTATACCTTCAAGGACTTATGAAAGTAGATATTCTTGAGATACGAAAATATTGGGGTACTTTGTTGCGGCTTGCATGCCACGTGTATCTGTGCTATACATGCACAGCAAAATTTTCTCCTTACCCATGTGCTTAGACCAACAGATATGTAGAGGTTCCTGCTATAAGACAGACTGACAGATGCACTGAAACTCTAGCTTCACATTAGTGCCTGAGAGAGTGATAGCTACCCCAGTTCTGACTTCTATCACTGTTATTACATTGCATACACATGTTAGCGGCTCTTTGATGACTCCAATCCTTCCCTAGTTATTGAGAATGTTTGGTGTACAAGTCAGAAACTGCCGTATGTGAAGGTGTAGTGAGACTTGGCATCGATCATGTGTATGCCAGATCAAGACTGGGAGACCAGAACACCATCGCACAACTTTCTAATTGAGAATCTAGAGACAGTAGTGACTGTGATTGCTGATCATGATGATGTCTGTGTGAATCAGGTTTAAGAGTTCTTTGCAATTTCTACCTACCACCCTGTGGTAATGCCACCACCCTGCCCCTCCTTCCCCATCTGCCAGTAAGATATAATATACGTTCTCGTTAGTAATGTATCAAAACACTGTCTAGGAGTACTTCTGGTTTAGTAATGCAAACACAGCTTTGTGACTGGAAGACCAGTTTAGCTACACCCCCTGAGCCTAGACAAAAGTTCGCCTCCCCTTTACTTACTCTAACTTTATCTACTAGCTTAACTCCTTCGCAAACACTTGGACAAAATTTCAACTATCCTATCTGATCATAGGTGCATAATTGTATAGGATGGTTCGGTAGTATCCGACCAGCAGTTGATAGGTGTGGTCAGTTGACTAAACTCTAGTATTTCCCTTTGTATGGATATGTTGTTTGTTAATTCTGACGAGCAGTTGATAGGTAGTATCATTGAACTAAACTCTAGTATTTTCCTTTTAGTATGATACTGTAGTTTCCTAGCTGATAGCAAGGGATAGGTGGGTGTCTATTGGAATTTGAGTATTTCCTTTGTTGGCTGATAGGTGCACTATATAACACGATCATAATTTGATGTCATGATAAATCAACAGTCACACACATCACACACTACATATATTGTCAGCATTGTGAGATGTTTTCATAGCCGATCTAATGAGACATCACTTGCTTTAACACAACCCACGTATTTCACTTTCTTCTTGTTTTTCGTTATCTCTTCTGTCTTTTGCGCTTCTTTTCTTTTACTCAAAAACATGTTAATGAGGATAGCACAATGAGCAACAAGCATAAAGTAATATTGTGAAACACTACAACCATGCAGCCACATAGCCAACATATCAGACTGACAGCCGTACAGCACAAGCCCTCAACATACAATCAGACTGACACAATGAACGACGGCCACAAAGCCACATATCAGACTGACAGCCGCACGGCCACAAAGCCCAACATATCAGACTGACAGCCATACGGCCACAAAGCCAACATATCAACTGACAGCCGCACGCCACAAAGCCCACATATCAGACTGACAGCCATACGCCACAAAGCCAACATATCAGACTGACAGCCGCACGCACAAAAGCCCAACATATCAGACTGACAGCCGTACAGCCACAAAGCCCAACATATCAGACTGACAGCCGTATGGGCACATAGCCCAAAATACCAGACTGACAGTGAGGGAATATATAAACGAATGGACAGACACATCCCTCCCTACATTCAAACCTGCAAGGCATTTCTATAGGAGCAACAACACCGTGATTTACGATACAGAGACCAACACTCACCAGCACTAGGAGTCAAGAATCAGCCCGTCTCTCTGGCTGAACCGCCTTTCCCGCGCAGAATACCGCCCAAGTCTTACGCGCATGCGTAAACAATATCGTTCGATTTTTGCCAGTCTGAGTTTGAATCTTGCCATGCAGAGAGAAGGGAGAAGACTCGATCTCTCCGAGAGTGGAAGAGCCTTCGTGAACGTAAGACTGTTGGGTATCTAGATATAAGTGTCCACCCTGGTTACTCCTGTTCTAGATGCAGGAGGCTGTTGCCGGAATACTCGCCCGTGCAAGCCGAGCGTGAGCCCCTAGTGGAACGGTTAAAAATTTGAGACCTTGAGTGTACAGACCTCTATCTATCTCAATCCTAGTCTCCTTGGGGTTCTCCTGTGCCGGTCCAGGAGGCAACCCCTGATAGATGTTGCTGTGTAAGTAACCTCGAGTGTAAGCGTGTGTATTTACACATGTGGTAAGTAACTTCTGCCATTTAGCACAGCAATGACAACTTCGCCCATGTGACTGACAACACAGGAAGTTGAATCTACTGCAGTAAGTACATGTTCGTGAGTGTTTACTTTGCGCAGGTACGATAATTGCAGCAGCAGTGTGTTTAACAAGGCAAAACGACGACCGAAGAGGGAGAAGAGATGGGCGTGCTGATTTTATGGTGAAAAAGCTTCGCTGTGAGGAGTGAGAGGGTGTCCAGCTTTTTTTACGACTCGACACTGCCGTGCATCCCGAAAGACTGAACAACCAAGTCGTCAAACACAGCCACGCATATACAGTGATTCATCTCATCAAGACCTGCTCCCCGTGGGTTTCCCAGCTGGGCAGTGATCCAGCAGTGAACATACTGAACAATGGAGTATTTCATTCTTTTGTAATCATGTGAATTGACAGGGATATGTGATGCGCAAGATGATCTGATAGATCATGAACACATTGGGGATAGTCTTAAAGATATGTGATGTGCAAGTATTATAGGTGGTCTGCATTAGATATAAAGGTCAAGGTTAGGTCTTCTGCTAACTACCTGTCAAGTACCTGGCACTTAGCCCTATCCACTACTGGTCAGGTGGCAGGAAATGTCTTCTATCTGGTAGTGCATGATAGGCCAGAGCACATGAACTCCCACCAAGCAATCCTTGATCAAACCAGCAGTTTGGCAGTTCAAAATTTGCCCAGTGTTAACTCGTGGTCTCCCGCTAGTATGCTCACGGAGAGTCTGACACGGGCTAGCTACAGTAGTAGATAGCATGCGGAAGTCGATACACGCTCTTCGTTGTGACTTCATGTACCTTCAAGATACACAGAGCCAGCGGACCCGGTCGAGGTAAGCCTGTGCCAATTAGCATATTGGCTTGTTCACTTGCTTTTCACGCCATAACTTTAGAACGCAGTATTTTTACGAAAATCGCCATTTTTAAAATTAAGCCAGTGTAACGCTGAACCTGTTGGTGTCGCTTTTTGGCCGGTTTGTTGTACGTGGCGGCAGAAAATGTGGTAACAGACACACACACAGACAGACACACAGAACGACTACTGTAACCCTCACTGCACATACGCGCCGAGGGTTAACAAGTAAAGCTGAAATTAGTATATAGATGTCTTAATTAATTAAAGAAGAACAGTCTCTGATCTTCTCTGAGACAACCAACTATTAAACCTCCATAATCAACAGTGGCGAGGGTTATGCACTTTCAAGTGCTTTTCATTGGTTGCTGCATTGATGTTTTTGTGTATGTGATGTCCGGGAGAGGTAAAAAGGATTCACGGCTTGTTGGTTTGGGTTCCAAACTTCAACCCTTCTATTTTGCAAGACTCTTTGGGTTCACATATTATTGTTACCTGTGGTAATATTTCCGGAAGTTTGTATCTGTCTAAGCTTGATGAGTCTAAGAAACCTCAACCAAAATGCAAATGGTTGTTCTCTCCTCCTGAGTTTGAGAGTTTTGCTGGGGAAAAAGCGAAGAAGTGGAAACAGTCCTTGCACCACCTTGGAAAGCCTTTATCAGATGATTTCATCAGAGCCTACCTTCTGTTACACAACTTGTTGTTGTTGTTAGTTTTCTAATGTTTCGAGGTCTGTTAGTGGCCCTATTTCTGCAAGTTAGCCTTGTTTGTTGCCACGAGTCATTCAGTCAGAATCCTTACATTCTACTGGCACCCTTTCAGATGCTGTGCAGGGTGACTCTGCCTCTGGGAATCACAGCCCTTGTTTACCTTGCTCTCATTCCACTCAGTCGGATTTTTCTGTAGATAACACAGGTTTGACTCCTTGCTCTGGTGCTATTAGGCACAAACCCTTGTTGGTCAACATTACAGCGAGGGTACTGTAGTTGTCCTGTGTGTCTGTCTGTTACTCTCAATCTCACTTCTCGGGTGTTTGTTTGTCTCACAAAGGATACGACCTACCAAACGGGCGACGAAGGTCAGAAAATAAAGGCGGTTTTCTCTGAAAATGCTCCGTTGCAAAGCTACAGCGCGAAAAAGCAAATATGCAAATACGCAACGGACGGGATGGCTTACCGCGGTCTGATCGATCCGCGTGCTCTGCGTACCTCGGAGGCACAAGAAGATGCAACGCAGGGCGTGTATCGCCTCTCGTATGCTATCTAGTAGTGTAGTTAGCCCGCGTCAGACTCTGCGCGAGCCTGCAAGAGACCGCGAGTAACAGCTAAAACTAAACCCAGCCCATTAATTAGTGGTAGGCTAGAGCGCATGCGTTTACTTACGCGTGCGCGTCACAATGCGCCGAGGGTTTGCACTTTCAGTGCTTTTCATTCTCTCTTTTGTGGTGGCTTACCGTCTAAAGGGTGACACAGACACCCTTAGAAGAATTGTGGGTGAGCGGTTTTGTAATAATGATGTAGAGGTTGCTAAGAGGCTTTTGTGGGATCACTGTAGTTGTGAGCTTGAGGCTAACGGTTTGGTGTTTCACGCACGTCGTGATTCAGACAATCGTAGTCAACTTGTAGCCAACCTCGATGATATTGTTCAAGCATTAGAAGTTTTGGATTCATCTGACACTATTCCCAATATCTACTGTGAGGCTTCTCAGCTGCACATGATTCCTCCTCTTTCTCTTGATCCCCTCAAATGTGAAGTGTTGGTGGTATAATGGTAGCATTGTTGCCTTCCAGGGTACAGATCCGGGTTCAATTTCCGGCCAACGCATTATCATCTTTAGGGGGTAATTATGCAGTTAGCATGAGCCCTGTAAGGGTGAATGCTGTCCTGTCTGGGTACTGCAACAGATATCCCTAGGCAAATGACATGTATGAACCCTGCTTGCACATGTAGGATTGTATAGGCTGATAAAATAATCCCCCACTACCTAGCTTCATACATGTCGGTTGCCCAACAAACAGTGGTGCAGGGGCTGGCTTTACTACAATGTTAGGCAGAAGCTGGGGCACAAACAATGGAGGCTCAAGGTACATGCTTACCTCAGTGCATGCACCTTGCATATCTGGCAATAATAGTGACATATGACAATGCACAGACCCTTATGAAGTTCTGAAGTCTGTCCCTATTTGGGAGCACGAATCTTTTCCCTGGAATCGAGAAGCGTCTGCGTCTCGGAGGTTGTTTTAGTACTGCAAGTATGGCATTTTCAATTCTGTAAGGCTGGTAGTGTCCACTGTAGGGAGGTTGTCCGCTTCTCAGAGGGTCCATTATGGGAGGTTTGACTGTATTCACGAAGAGCTCGTGATTCGTCGTAGATGTTCATACTGTGCGTGGAGGAGAGACGATGCACAGCTAGACGGGCACAGTCGCAAAATGCTTTACGCATGCTTTGTGCGCTGCAAAACATAATACATACATATTCCCCTCTTCCCCAAGCGAGGTATCCTGATCAAAGGTTTCCAATCTTAGGTCGTGATTAGGGAGGTGTTCTAATCTTAGAGAAAAGTTTCATGATTACAGTTCTGTGTGCTGATCTTAGTAGAAGTGTTATCATTAGTGACGGTGTCCTATATACTAATTCTCAAAGCGACCGCCTCAGACTTGTACATTGTCTGGTAAGAAAAGAACTCCCAAACCCCTGGGAAGCCTGCAGGCAGGAGGGGAGAGGCCACGGAGACAACTGAGAGCAGGAACCTCCTGAGAGCAGGACACCCGAGAGAGCCTACCCTGCACCCCACCCAGCAACCTCCACTGACAACCATGCCATCACCTCCACAAAAAAACTTTTTTATGCGCGCATGTGCCACTGAATTTTACCAATAGTTTGCAATTACAGCTACAATGATTCTCATTGAAGTATGCGTGGTGTGCGATGAACCAGAGGGAGAAGATTTTAGTGCTGAAGTACAGACAATAACCTCCGTTGACTTGGAACGTGAAGATGAGTTACACAGCATCCTGAGCTGCGTGCCGCTTTGTGGGCGGCAGGCTGCCTGAGCGTCTTCGCTTAAGTGCCATAGAGAATCTTTTAGTGGGGAATGCGGAGGATGGAGTGGCGACCACAGAGGTTGCTGGTGTTGCAGTTGGGATCATGGAGGGTGTGCGTGAGCTTCCAGCATAGCCAGTTTCGTCTTCACTTCCTCCAACTCTTCTAGCTTTCTTCTGATTTCTTCATACCAACTGGCATTTCACCGGGCCTTGATAAAATGTAGCCGGATTTCACTGCCTCCTGCGCGACTTTGTTTGTTCGGCCCATGCTTTCCCCTCCAAAAACAGCCTCCATTCTGACTCGTTGGCAATTGACCTTTCATGCCGAAAGTTGTTGAATAGGGACATGGCGATACAAACACATTCATTCAGACGAATCCCCACCCTCCACTGCAGCGCAGAACTCACGAAAATGATAGCATTGACGATCGTTGGTAGCAAGTGGTGAAAACGCTAATCTTACGGTATAGAATGGTCACTTCAACATCCCCACGTGCATCCACCTACATACCGACCATTGACTACGTTCCCATGTATTGGGATAGTGAGAGATGTGTGTCCTCTCTGTTATTTTTTTCTTCGCCTCCACAGGGATGATGTACATTGGGTCATTTTCTCCACAAACCCTGGTCATGGTGTAATCCACCTCGGCTTTCTTCCTCTTTTATCACTTTCGGCAGCCTGTGTTTCTCGGCCTAGGGCGGAACAGTACTCCAGGCAGTTGCAGTCCCGCGGGGCGAGGGACATCGATGCGGCATGAGCTATCTTCTTCAAAAGAGGCGTTAACAAATAGTGGCAAATCTCTGCCTCACTAGTGTGGCCTCTGCAGATGGAGAGGCCCAGACAAAGATCGAAAAGAAGTCCCTGAAAGTACGTCCGCCAAAACTCGGCGTTGTGCAGCGTATTCGGCAACGAAAAAATTTCATCGACTCCTTGCCAACGTTCTGGAGTTGTTTTTTTTACGGCTACTGGAAGTCGTCCGGCAGCAGAGGGTCACACACGATAATGATACGTTGCCGCGGAGGGGGGAGGCGCGAGAAGTTCCACGAGTCAGAGGGACTGGGTGCCATATTCCCCACAGTGGTAGCGACGTCAGTAAAATTTTCAAAGTTTGTTAAAAACGCTTTATGATAGCATTATCAGATAGATAATGAAACAAGGATTGCAACGATATATAAACATCGTACGTTGCTAGCTCCAATCAAGTAAATTTCCGCCTTGAACGCATTCCCGATTCTCCGCTTATTGTAATATTACTCACTGTGGCACAAATTTTTATGTCTGAGTTATATTTAATGATAAATCACCTTTTTATCCACGAACGGCAGGGTAATTAATGCTGCGGAGGCTGAAACAAGTCAAAAATCGTAAGTTTCCCTCAGGACCACACCTCCAAGGCGGAGCGCCAGGGGTCAAAGTGCAGCTGTGTCAGCACGAAGCTACAAACAAGGCTTTCTTGGTGCCCAAAAGCAGGATTCGGGTTGAGCTGCAAGTTATATAGGCTTTCTACACAAAATCATGGCCGAAAAGGAATACACGGTAAGAGTTTGCGTTTATAAATGTGATGAAATAAACCCTATGCTTCGCACCAGCTCTACGTTGCTGAAAAGGTCCATTGTGTTTGGCTAGCAGATGGAGACGTTCATGTACTCTTTGAAAGCAAGGTGTTTGAAGGTCCTGATCATCTTGGATGTGCTGTTGTGGACAGAATAAGCAACAAAGAGGTTGTTCTGGAATACTTGAAAACAATGGTCTCCATCCCACAGATCGAAAGGCTCATAACTATGGTTCCAGTGTCAGAAACTGGAGTTTTCAATGACTAGTTAATATTATGTGTTGTTGTGAACATAATTTTAGCGAATTGATCATTATAATGCATAAAACCACACTTTCAGATAAGTAACAAATCACCACTCCTTATATCGTCTAAGAGGGGAAACCAAGATAGATCTTCTTCGCCTTCATATGCAACCTGAAACTCATTCGTTACAAAGTTGAGCTGCTGTACGACTCCTTCATACCAGACTATTTCACCATCAACTTCAAATCGGTGCTTGATCCTTCTACCTATTAGTAGTTCGGGTTGGAACAGTATATCTTTAAGTGTTTCTTGCTCTGGAGAAGTAGAATTCTCATGGTGCTCAACGTCATCTACCAGCTTGCCCAATTTTTCTTTCAATGTTTCAAGAGAGTGAGCTTTGCCTCTAGACGAAAATGCAAAAATAGAACTGTCAGGATATGGTTGAGTAAGAACTTTCTGCCGGAATTTTAGTTGCACTTTTAAAATTCTAAGCTTTTCAGCTTTCTTTAATATGTTCTGCAGTCCTCTTTCAATATCCCCCCTATTCATCCACAAGCCAATAGATTGAATTTCTTGTGTTAGCTTGTCATTATCTTGAGTGGCCCGCATTTTTCTACGAGTAATATCTTCCTGTCTTTTGAGAAGCACATCTGCCCGTCTTTCTTCTATTGCCTGGCGCCTCTCATTGAACTTCTTCCTAACTGATGGGGCCAATTTTCGTGCAACTTCAATGAGTTTCTTTCTATCGTCCAACGGTTGCTTTTCAAACCAGGATGAGGTTTTGTTGTGGGAATAAAGAATCATAGACTCCAGTGCTACAACAGACGCATTTGGCTTTTCTCTAACTAATCTGTCTAGAATAGCAAAATCTCGCTCTGGAGCAACATTTGTTGTAGGCACACTTGCCACTTTTTCTATTACCGACATATCTGTAACTGAGTGATACTTACCGCCAGGAAGATGATCAAGGAGAAGTCTGTGTGTTGTAATTGAAAGGGAAGAAAAGAGGAGCTGAAGAATTTCTTGTGTTATCTCATTGCGCGCGGGGGATCTATATATAGATTCGTTACGCGGATGTTAGCCAACGCGATGGGTATATATATAGACGCGCAGGAACAACTCACTTCTCTCTTGGTCCTAGTTGCCGTCTTCACTCGCTGGCACAACCTAGACCTTGCTACACCTTTGACCTTTGAGTGGGCGCACAGTGTGCGCATGTACAAACATAAAAGGCGGGGCTGGTGTGCGCAGCAGCTGCCCCACCTTCCGCGCGTAGTTAGTTCGCAACAAGAGCGATGAATGCAGATCAGGCGTTGGAGCTTGTGCTAGACGGAACTACGGACGAACTTGACTCCGGGGACGAGACAGATATTGATGAAGATGCATCATTTCCATTACCAGCTGATGAGGAGTCAGAATATGAAGGTAATTTTTTGTCCAGTACAAATAATGTAAAAAAATCTACAGTAAGCGACAGTAAGGACACACAAATGTTGCTATGTTGTGTAGCAACACCAACATCAGAGATGCCTGTGGAAACAGATTCTGGAGGAGAGAGTGATGCAGTAGGAGAGAATGAAGTAGGAGAAGAGAGTGTCCGTACGCGAGGAAGAGGAAGAGGGAGAGGGAGAGGGAGAGGGAGAGCAAGAGCGAGAGGGAGATCAACAGGGGGAAGGGGGAGGGGGAGACAGGCCTCGAGAGGGAGAACATCAATCGTTCCATGGGTCATAACAACACCTGGAAATGACCAACAACCACCACCAAAACCTTTCACTGCTACCAAAGCCACCAACCTACACCTGCCTCAAGATCCTCAGCCAATTGACTACTTCAGCCAGCTTGTTGACCATGACGTCCTTCAACTCATAGCTGATGAGACAAACAGGTGCTCAGGCAATACATGTTAGACATATACTAAAGTACAGCCATATCTAAATTCACATACCAACACCTCATTACATACATCCACAAGTATAATACAGGAACTATATAACTGTGTATGCAGGTATGCAGCACAAAAGATCACGGAGCTAGAGGCAGCTGGGAGACTTACCAGGAGATCACGGTTCAGGAAGTGGCATCCAACAAATCCCAACGAGATGAAAGGATTCCTCGCCATCATCTTCAACATGGGCCTCATAAATCTCCCTCGGATCGAGGATTACTGGAAGAGATCATGGCTGATTGAGGTACCATTCTTCGCCAGAGTGATGCCCCGAGACAGGTTTGAACTCCTGTTTTGGCTGTTCCATGTGAGCCACTCAACTTCGGCTAGAGCTAGCAGGATCGACAAAATCAAGATGTTGCTCGATAAAATGCTTGCTCGTTTTCAGTCCTGCTATTACCCTGGCTGTGAGTTGGCCCTTGATGAAACAATGGTTGGATTTAGGGGGAGGTTCATTTGGAAGCAGTACATTCAAAACAAACCAACGAAGTGGGGGATAAAGTGCTTCACTCTCGCCGATAGCTCGAACGGCTATGTGCTGAACATCCTGGTGTACACAGGGAGAAATACACTAGAAGAAGCAGAAAATAGCCAACTCCCACAGCCAGCCCGTGTAGTGATGCACCTGGCAGAGCCATACCTGCATTGTGGCCACCACCTGTTCACTGACAGGTATTACTCCAGCCTTCCCCTCGCCAAATCACTACATGCAGCTGAGACGGACTTCACTGGAACCATAATGAAAAATCGTGTCGACTTACCAGACACGTTTCGTTCTCAGCTGCGAATGAGTTCAGGTGAGGTGAGTGCTTACAGAGCAGATCATCTTTTGGCTTTAGCTTGGCTTGCTGAAAGGAAGAAAAAGCCAGTCGTCATGATTTCAACTTCTTCCTCGGCTGCAGTCACTACAGTTACCTCCCGAAATCACCACGTCCCGCCCCAGGTAAAACCTGTTGTAGTAGACTCCTACAATCACCACATGAATGGTGTAGACGTCGCTGACCAGTATGCTGTCTACTACAGCTTTGTGAGAAAAACAGTCAAGTGGTGGCGAAAGATTGTCTTCTGGCTCTTTGAAACGGCAATGGTCAACAGCTACCTTCTCTACACAGAGTCTACTGCTACACCGATGTCTCACATTGCCTTTCGTCGATCAGTGGTAGAGGCACTGGCATCAGCACATATCGCGACAGCTCCGCCACGTCCTGTGGGACGCCCACGAAAACGCGCACATGCTGTTGAGGCGGGACCTGAGAGGCTGAACAAGAGACTGCACCTCATTGACCAACGCTCACAGCGTCAGTGCGTAGTTTGTAGAAAAACCCGGCCCATCTACTACTGCAAGACCTGCCCTGATATGCCACAGCTATGCCCTACTGAATGTTTCGAACGTTTCCACACCCTACCACACTTCTAACTACATGTAGAACAAGCTATGTCTGGTACAAGTAATGTCAATCGTGAATATAACTTACCAGCGTTATCCATAGTAGTTTCTGCCATGGAAATGTGGCCTCCCGGCGGCTTTAAGATGACACTTGGCTTTCTAACACACGAAGAACGAATCTGGGCTTCGTCTGCACGCCTACACTAGGTATAAACACGCGAACAAAACGGCACGCAAGAACGCGTAAAAACCACGCGTACGCGTTAATTCCGCGCATGCGTATTAACGCG